ACTATTAGCGATTAAATTTCATTTGACGTAAAACGCTTTTAAATTGGGTAGTGGAAGTACATCAAGGAGAAAGAAAAACATTTAAAATCACAAATTCTATCTTAATCAAAAGTTTTCCAGTTATATATCTAATTGAAATTGGACAAAGTTATGAATCATTTTTCATGGTAGTAATAGAGGAGTCTAAGAGCAACCTTATCGGTGGGACTTTGTGGGGTTTTTTTGTTTTTTAAATGTTTTTTTTGTTTTGTGCTTTAAAAAAATTAAAAATTAAAAACCGACTAATTGCGGGTCACCACTTGTTAGTGGGGCCCGCAAATAGTGAAAGACAACATGGCGGACGTTCCTTATTTAAGGACAATGGGGGACAATTTTTCCACCAAAGTGGTGGGGCCCACACATTTTTCACCTAAGGACCAAGGTAAAAGTGGCCGATAATGTTGGTCTAAGAAATGTTATCTCACAATTATAATATGGACAAATTTGTTGTAACTTTGACGTTTATTTTTTTCAAATCTCTGACTATAAACGTTGATTTTAGGCTTTTTCGCTATTTCAAAAGTGAAAAAGATAATAAAATAGGATGATGAAGGAGATATGTGGAATTATCATCGCCAGAAGATCAGAATTTATAAGGTTAATATAATCATTGCTGAAACGTCTCTAGTGAGAAGTTAGAAAATTTATAGACATTTTGAAATTGAAGATACATGTTGATGGAATAATTATTGGTATAAAAGTAACATATGATGAGTTATCTTTTGTTTAAGAGGTTTTTTGATATCTAATTTCACAAGATGAGTAAAAATAGTTGAATTTCAAAAAATAAAATAGTTGAATATTGTAAACTATTATTTTTGACCACTATATTAGTTAGAATTGTATAATTAAAATTTACACTATTGTTTATACCTGTATCTTATTATTGAAGTATCGTGTTAGGGATCAATCTCATATCCAACACCAAATACTACTAGACATGTTTAAGACTACCGGCCGTTTGCAGTTAACGTAATCCGCTAATCTGTGTTTCTTTAACCCTGGTGGATGGGGTTTTGTATTGACTTATTCCCACTCAGCAGATTTGAATTCTTGATTGGCATCGCTAGCTATCTAGAAATATATAGATCTCACAGAGACATCTTTATTTAATTAAATATTTTTTTTGGGTCAATGTACTTTCTCACTCGTAGGTGAAGCCTGAGAGTAGCAAAAGAAAAACTAAAAGAAAAACATTCCACCGAGCGTAGCCATAGGACTGTGCAATATTGATTGTGGAGAGGAGATAAATACAAATTAAGGCCTTGAAATCACAACATACAAAGACTAGATTCGTTAGACTCCTATTTATGTTTTGACCCAACCCTATCTCTACTACACAGTACACACACACCTACTCTTCAATTTCTGTAATCAACACTGTAAATTTCAAATTGTACAAAAAAAGAAACACTGTCGATTTCAATCTTTTTCAGTCAATTTATCTGCAATATCAATCAATACTTATACAACAACAACATCAACATCAACCCATGTTGTATATTATTACAACAAAACATGTCTTTTTTTTTTTTTTGAACAAACCAAAACATGTCTAGGTTGACAAAAAAAAATGGTAGACGGACTGAGAAAATAAAATAAATTGGACAAAAATAGCTACGACCTTCAATAGCTAATTAATGCAATATAACAGAGAATGTGATGCAGTCTTACATTGTCAGAATATTAATATAGTGTCTAATGTGAATGTTTGTATAACGTATACACGTACACATGAGGGCATTGTATGTATTATGATGATCTCATGATAGGAGAGATCACTGACACAATATAAAAAGTCTTGAAAATAGGCTTTAATCGTTTGTTTTTTAATAAATTGGTTTGTCTCTCAAAGGGAGAGAAGTAGAAATAAAGAAGAGGAATGAATCACATGACACATTGAACCAAAATATAAGAAAATAAGAATTGCAGAGAATAAGAGGAGACGGGAGATTCACAGCCAAGCTAAACCAACCAAAGGTCCACCTCAATGCCTGCCACCATTTTGTCCCTCACACTTTCACACTCAAGAGCCTTCTTCAGTCTTGTCAATTCCGTTCTATATCTCTCCTCTTCTTCCCTTATATTTGTCTCTTCCATCTTTGGAGGTTCACTTAAAAGGTTCTTTAAATTATCAATGACTAGTGTCGGTCAATTATTCGCCTATTTTTTGTCAAGTATTTTTAGCTGTCATTTTATTTTTCAAAGGTTCAAACTATAACAAGTTATCATACTTACGATGGACGTGTGTGTTTGGCACAACTAGATGGCCGCCTTAATATAGGAGGAGGGGGGGGGGGTGATTGGTTGGGATATAGTTATAAAAAAAATTCGGTAGAATTTTTATGTATGTTTTTTTTATGTAGTTGTAGTATATGTAACTATAAACATTAAATAAAAATAATAATAAAAATGAAAAAAATATTCCTATAGTAATATTTTTTTATAGCTAACAAAATCATGCTTTAGAAAACAAGATTGCCACAACCATTTTTTTCTACTTTTTGAGTAAACAAGATAAAGCATATTTGGTAATTTTATGATTGTAGTGGAAATTAAAACTAAAGTCTCTTGTTGTATTCCAACCAGTCACCCCATTATTATCTACTTCAATGTTCTTCTTTTTTTTTCTTTTACAATCAAGATGCGAGTTAATTAGAAATTCAAATAATGATCTAATTTGTGAGAATAGTATAAAAACATACTCCCTATCTTTCATTACACTTGGTTTTTGAGGTTAATACACAAATATTACGAAAATGTCAACTTTTATTAAAGTTACCTTGGTTATATAAAATTCTTATGAAATAAAATTAGTTCAGGCAATGAAAAAATGTAGTATTATGTAATTGATCATAAATGTCAACATATATTAAATTTTCATCTAGAATAGTGAGAACATCACTTAATTTGTAACAATTTTTTTTTCTAAAACACTAAATAAAGTGAAATAGATGTAGTATCTTTTTGTGTATTAAAAGCATCGACATTGAACATTATCTTAGACATATGATATTAATTATTTCAAATAATTTAGCTTTTTATGAACTCAAATAATTTAGTTAAATGTGTTCAAAAATTCGTTACAATCATAATAAAGTGACATGTGTGAAATAAGTATCTTGTAATTTTTTTGTTGGGTATCTCAACAAAAACTCATTTTCCACTTTTCTTTCTTTTTTTATTTTTATTTAATAGTTTTATGTTAATGAAAATATCCTCTAGATACCTTTTATAAAAACTAGCAATAATGGTGCTATTACATGTGACTAGCTAGTAAGCATGAATCAGATTTTTTTTTTTTTTGGCATAAAATCAGATTTATTAATGGATGGGGTTTCTTGGTTTAGATTTCTACTGCAGTTATATATTAGGGGGTTCTCTAGCTAGAGACAATACAAATTACCTAGAGATCCAAAACCATCCTTGCACTGAATAGTACGTGCCCTCATCTATAAATTAAACTAATATGCTTTAAAACAACAAATCAGCTTTGTAAGCGCCTAGGCGGATGAGATGTTTTTGGTTTAATTAAAAAGAAAGATAAAAACATTAATTTATGCGAATTAGCCATCATGGTCATGCGTTAATATATGTAGTTCTACTGTATTGGTGAGATGATCCCACGTTGGTCATACATACATCATCCACTTTCCCTGACCGTTACATGATATATGAATTATTAGAGTTAATTTCATCTGGAGACAGTTTCCGAGATTCTCTTGCACGTGGAGACAGTTTCCCCTAAAGGAGCAGTTATTGTGTGAAAAGTCATAAAAAGTCCCTCTAGATTGTGTAACTAAACATATAATTGTGGTACCCTTCTAGTTAGGTTTCGTTACTCTTGTCTTTGTTTTTTTAAAATTCAAATTTACTGTTTTTGTTAGCAGTTGTGTACCCGAGACAAAATTATAAACCCTTTTTAATTTGAGATATTTTCTTCTTCTTCTCATTGGCTGTCCTTTTGTTTTCCACCGAACAAGAAACCTCCTCCTTTGTAGTGAATCGTGCGACGGCGAGTTGTAAGGTGGTTTAGCATCTGAGTCTCGGTTAATCTCCGATTTACGTATGTCTTCTCGACGGAAACGGCCCGGAAAAGAGATTTCCGGTGAGTTCTTGATCGGATTTTTTTTTTTTTTTTTTTTGTTAAACGACTTCAATCTTGGGGCTGTGTGATAATTATTTGGTGGGTCGATTCTATTTCAGGCGGAGGCGACGTCGATGGTGTGGACTTGAAGCTTCCTAAGCGACTGTTTGCCACGGATCGATTCCCGGATCGGCGTTTAAATTGTTATTCGACGGTTGATTTGCTTTTGTTTGTGCGCGATGTCTTGGAAGGCTCGGAGGAGTGGGAAATTTTGTTGCGGTCACCTTTTGGGAGGCTTATGGAACTACCTGCCCGCCGGTGTGCGATGTCGGGGAAGCTTGGTCACGCCATGATAGTGAGGCAATTGATCACGAAAAAGAAGTTCGAGTTATGGCCGGTATTCGGTGGAAATCCTTTTAGATTTTCATTGGCCAAGTTTGGCGCTGTTACGGGTCTCCCCTGTGGTGAGTTCGAAGATGGATACACTCACGTGTACGAGCCCAAGCCTACGGATAAGAACTACGAGTTCTGGGAGAAACTCATTGGCGATGACCGTTCTGTGACACTAGATCACCTCGTCAATGTTGTTGCTGGTGATTACAAAATGAAGGGTTGGCGTAGGCTCAGGCTCTGTCTCATAATAATCGTGGATGGTGTATTGGTGAGGACTTCGCAGAATCCAAGGCCGAGTTTGAAGTATGTTATGCTAGTGGAGGATCTTAGGAAGTTTTTCGCATTTCCTTGGGGGAGAGAGTCCTATCTGTGGACAATTAGTACCATGAAGCCTGGCCCTAAGATTCTTGATAAGGTTGAAGATCCAATTGGGGAGTTCGTTAAGCGGCTGATGCAGGAGACAACGAAAATGGTTGGGTTGATGCAGGAGACAACGAAAGATTACAAGAAGTCCATCTTACCGAAACACGCGGGGTTGAACATAATCGACATTCGTAACGCTGAGCACGACCCTGAGGTATACTCGACTCCACATTTATTTATGTGGGTAGGTGGCAGTGTGTTTAAAATGTTATAAGTTTGGATGTTAGATAGTATTGTTGTTTATAGTGTACGCGTGGACACCGAATTGATGTTTACGCTGGATACGTAATTGCGTAAGCGTTATGGGATATGTAGTTTTACGAGGTGTACACCTCGTTAGTGTCCACGTGTACTTCTTTGTAGACAACTTGGGGAGATTTTGCGTGGATATTATGTGTGATTTTTTTTTTGGTTCTTGAATTCTTTACGCGTGTACAACATTTAGACGGGGGGTGTCAATTTTTTGGTTGAATCATAATCCCATTGTGTGCTTGATAGACCATTAAAAATTGATGTGCATGTGGACACCGCAATCGTGTACATGTGTACAATGAGTTGATTGATTTTATGGTCTTTAAATTGTGGACAACAATTCAGGTGTATGTATGGATACAGACTGCTTTCTTTCTATGTAATTCTCCTTCTTGCTAGTTTCTGTCTGATTGTAACTTGTTTTTTGTATTTTTTTGTAGCTAAAAGTGCAACCCATGCTTGAGCTATCAACCATGGGTGGGGAGGAGTGGATTCCTTTCGACGACGAGAGGATGGATCATGAGGTTGCTTACATGGCAGGGAAGATTGAAAAAGGCAGGGTATTCCGCAAGACAGACTGGGGTGGAGGTGACATGCGCGTGGAACTTTATGTTCACGGCGGTGTCAAGAAGAAGAAGAGAAGGGTGGGTGAAAGGGTTGATGTTGTGGAGTGTGACGGAGAGGGGCCTTCTATGAATCAGGGAGGAGATGGTCATTCGGGTGGCTGTTCGGAAAGGCCCGTAGATATAGTTGTTGCCCGTCTGACTTTGGAGGTTGAGACTTTGAAGAATGAGATTGTTTTGTTGAAGAAAACTGTTAGGTCACTTGTTAGGCGAGTTGGTCGCAGAAGGGGTAGGAAACGTGACTCTGTTAGGAAACAGGGTGTAGCTTCTCAACAGGGTGGAGGTTCTCCACATGGTGGAGGTTCTGAACGGGATGTTGATGGTGGTGAAGATCGTGGAGGATCTCAACAAGGTGTTGGAAGTCCTAACAACCAGGTTGGCGATGATGGGTCGGATGAGTTGCATTTGATGAGAGAGGAAGTAGTAGCTCAGAAAAGCGGCGATGATGACAGTTTCTCGTCTGACGAGGCACCACGGTTGTTAGTTAGGATGAAGCAAGGAGACGGGATCCCTCTGCAGTGGGCGGATGGTGGGAGGCCGAGTCCGGACGGTAATGTTTTATACGACGGCACGACTAGCAACACCTACTTCGTTGCTGATAGTCAGGTAGGTTTAGGCGGGGGTGGTCCATTGGGCGTGTTAGCCAATGTTAACCCACTTAGTTACGTTGATGGGCAGGATAGTAGCTTCGTAGCCGATGATATAGGTGGCCGCAGTCCCGGTAACAAGTTAACAGTTGAGGTATTTTTTTTTTTTGTCTGTTGGGCGCTATTAATCGTCTCTATTTACGTATTTGTTTCCTATATTAATTTCGTTACCATTCTTTTCAGGATGCTGAGAGGTTGGATGTTGTTGTTCAGGGTTACATTGGGACGTCTGAAGCTACGGTACATTTCATTATATCCTACGTTGAATGCACACGTCGGAAAATAAAATTGTTTTATGTCCGCAGGCAAGCAAGAGTGGGCCTGAGATATTCGTAGCTGGTAGCAACACGTACGTTGATTTCGGGGTTTTGCAGGAACAAACATCGGCTAATTTAGTAGCCGGGGCGGCGGATGCGGTAACATCGCATGATAACCAGGTTTGCAGAAGTTTGTTTTATTTTACTGTATGGTTAAATGTTGTTTCTTTTGTTCAACTTTAAAATGTTTTTGCCATTTTTTTAAAAGAGGGTCGATAGTGATCCCATGACTCCTAAGGAGACCAGTGATGGGGGAGATGATACGAGGGCGGCTGTACCCGTCGAGGGGAGTGAGTCTGGACCTGTTGGGGAGCAGGTATTAACTTGTGTACACTGTTTTATTGTCCACCAATACACTTTAGTTGTATGGTGAATTTTTTTTTTGTTGTCTATCTTAACACTAGTAATACCTTTTTGATTTTGTTTTTTTTCAGAGGGTCGTTAGTGATCCCATGACTCCTAAGGATACCATTGATGGGGGAGATGATACGATTGAGGCTTTAGCTGTCGAGGGGAGGGAGGTAATTTTTTTTGGTGGACACTCTTTTATTGTCCACACTAACACTTTAGGTGTATGGTGGAATTTTTTTTGGTTGTCTATCTTAGCACTATTAATAGCTTATTTTTTTTTCTTTTCTTTTAGATGGTGTATTGTGATGCCCTGACTCCGAAGAACCCAAACGTTGGTGGGGATGAGGAGACCGTGTCTGCAACTGTTGATGAGAGTGTGGCTGGAACTGTTGGAGATCAAGTATGATTTTGCTGGATACCCTTTTTGATTGAACATATGGACACTTACATTGTTAGGTGGACACCTTTTTGTTGTCCACTATGATCTAGTTAATTAGGCAGATTGGTGTTTTGTGTTGGGTGTTTGTTCTCTATTTCATCCACTTTTTGCTTTGTGTTTTGTAGGTGACTGTAAGCAGACCTGACAGTTGCTTCCAAACCTGTGAAGCTAGCAAGAAGGACACGGTACAGGTATATGACCTTTTTTGTTGTAAGGGTTAGTTTTCTTTTAGGTAGGTGTCTACCCGTCAGAACATATGGGTTTGTACTTTTTTACTTGCTGTTATATGTCCCTATTTGTTGTTAGGGTTGTTCGGTATCTTTGTGTATTGTCCACCTGGACAGTAGGAATAGGTGGTGGACATAGTCTGCGTTGTACACCTGGACAATGGATTAATTCGTTTTTTTTAATATTTGTAGACGTCTTTATGAACTGACGTGTGCGTTGCCTTTATATCTTGACAGGTTGGTTTGGAAGTTGGGCCTAGTGTGTTAATAGAGCCGCGCAGACCAGGTGAGCAGGAAGCCCATTTGCTGCCTTGTTTCTAACGAAAGACCCTTATGAAGTACCGGAAATAGTCCCCACTGTGGAAGACTGTGATTATCCAGCCTTTATAAAGGTTTTGGAATCGGCACAGGAAGCGTGAGTTTGGTTGGTTATTTTCGTTGCATTTGCTTGTACTCAAAACAGATGTTAACTGATGACTTTTTGTGATCTTGCTGACAGCGTGCATGCCAAGGCAGGAGGCAAAGACGACCTGAACAATAAGTTTTTCATTGATCTAGCAACGTCTCAGGATATGTTGTCTGATAAGGTAAATTTGAAGAAGCTCTCAATTTTTTAATTTTTTTACGTTTAAGCGTCTTAACCATTTTGCATTTGTCTGAATTTCTGTTGAACAGTATATGGAGGTGTTGATGAAGTTCGTTGAGAAGAGACATGGAGGGGCTGTTTTGATGAATCAGGGTATGTTCGTGCCGCCGTGGTTTTCCTGTCACTTGCAGGGGAGAGCGAGATCGTTTAAGGCGGCTAATGATAAGACTATAGTTGTGGCCGATGCAAGGGTAACGAAATATCTGACTATGAAGAATATGACATGGGGTGTGGAGGTGGATAGGCTTTATACGCCAATGAAGTGGGGTGGAAGTCATTGGGTAGGCTTGTGCATTAGTCTATCGGAGTGGAGAGTTTTGGTGTTTGACCTAAACCCAAGTCTGAATTCAGATGAAGAAGTTGGTGAGTTGCTGGCAGATATGTCTAGGATGCTACCGTACATTGCCCGTAAGGTGAGCCCAACTGTTGATGCCGGCGAGCATGAGTTTGCTCCGTTCTTGATTGAGAGGGTTGTAGGTGTATACGAGAACGGGCGGGGTGGAGATTGTGTCCCTTTGGCTGCAAAGTCCATGGAGATGCATGCGAATGGTATGGATGTTAGAAACTCGGGCCTGAAAGATGAGGTTGTCGACATCATTAGGAAGCAGTATGCCATGGATCTTTACAAGGGGTGGGTTGTGCCTTTGTATGTTTGATTGTGATTTGGATGGGTTGTGTCTTTGTACGCTACTATGTGGGTGTTCGTAAGCAATATTTTTTAGTGTTTTTGGTTTGTTTCGGTGTTCTAGGTTGGTTTTCTTTTTTCTAAGTTGTGACGTGCTTGTTGGATGTATTTTGTTAACTTAAGACCTAATGTGTATAAGCGATGTATGAAGGTTTGATCATGGTTGTCCATGTTTTTAGGTTAGATAAGAAATATTTAAAATCCACAACTTAAGTTGTTAAGAAATATTTGACCAACGACGTGTACATGTGGATAATACGGTGTACATGTGGATGCTTCAACGGCTTGGTGGATATTAAACATATAGATAAGACTGCGTGTACATGTGGATATTAGGAAAATGTAGAACTTCGTCTAGTATCCACGTGTACTCACTTTACCATGTCGTGTGGTTAGTAAGACGTTACCATGTACCCAACTCGATACGGTACATGTACACGCTTTCGGTGTCCACGTGTACATAATTGCGTAGTCATGTTTAGTGTCCATCCAGCATTCTTGTGTATCCTCATATAAACACATAACATTGATTTTGTCAAAGAGGGTCCACATTTATGGCTACTAGACATAAGTTTGGTCGTTGATACATAAGTGTGGACCACCTTGATACATAAGTGTTATGTGTTTGTATGAGGATACCCAAGAATGTTGAATGGATACCGAACATATGACCAAGAAACTATGTACAATGTGTGTACTGTGCGCTCTTTGATACATAAGTGTGGTCACTCTTAAAGAAATCTATGTAATGTGTTTATACGAGGATACCCAAGAACCCTTGGTGGATAATAAACACATGGATAAGACTGCGTGTCCACGTAGATATTAGAAAAATGTAGCACTTCGCCTAGTATCCACGTGTACTCACTTTTGTATCCATTTGGCAGCTAAATCCTAAACCCTAAACGAAGATGGATAAAGATGTGTGTGCACGTGGATACTGAAGATATTGCTGCAATATGTTTCTGCATGCTTAAGTGTACATGAAGATGGTCTTTAAGTATCCACATGAGGTACACTTTCAGTATCCATGTGAATACCGTGGCATCGTCATGTGGTTAGTAAGACGTTACGATGTACCCAACTCGAGACGGTACATGTACACGATTTCGGTGTCCACGTGTACATAATTGCTTAGTCATGTTTAGTGTCCATCCAGCATTCTTGTGTATCCTCATATAAAACATAACATTGATTTTGTCAAAGAGGGTCCACACTTATGGCTACTAGACATAAGTGTGGTCGTTGATACATAAGTGTTATGTGTTTGTATGAGGATACCCAAGAATGTTGAATGGATACCGAACATATGACCAAGAAACTGTGTACACGTGTACACACTAATCGATCATTATGTGTAGTGTCCATGTGTACGCACATGTGTGTCCATACGTTGAGTATCGAGATTGGGCGGCGTTTAATAAACAATGTAAAAATGTACACGCTTAGATGGACTTCTTTGGTACACGAAACATATCGAGCTGGGTAGATGGTAACGTCCTATGTTTGAACTTTGTATTCATCGTTTGAAAATGTGTATGTAATAGACGGAGGTATTAACACATGTTGATTTTCTAATGAGCAATAAACCACATGACGATGTGACGGTATTCACATGGATACTGGAAGTGTTGCTCATGTCGATACTGAAAGACCATCTTCATTTACACTGTAGGACGTGGACACGTATTGTATCCATAACTACAATGTCCACGGGTACACACATCATGTAATGGCTCTGTGTGTATTGTATAGGGTGCAGCCGACATATGGATACAATGTGTGTAGACGTGGATACTGTAGTTTTGGATACAAGCCGACAACTGTATAGTACCTCATGTGGATTCCCAAAGTTGTATGTACGTATGGATACAATGTGTGTACACGCATGCGGATACCTATTGTATACATAACTCCAGTATCCACGTGTACACCCTAAACGAAGATGGATAAAGAGGTTTGTACACGTGGATATAGGAGTTATGGATACAAAATGTGTCTGTGTGTTTAAGTGTACATGGAAATGCTCTTTAAGTATCCACATGAGGCACACTTCCAGTATCCATGTGAATTTTGTGGCATCGTCATTTGGTTTATTTCTCATTGAAAAATCAACATTTGTTAATACCTCCGTGTATTACATACACATTTTCAAACTATGACTACAAAGTTCAAATATAGGACGTTACCATGTACCCACTTCGATATGTTTCATGTACTAAAGGAGTCCATCTAAGCGTGTACATTTTTGCATTGTTTATTAAACGCCCCGCCTATCTCGATTCTCGACGTAAGGACACACAAGTGCGTACAGGTGGACAGTAGACATAGTGAGTGATTTGTGTGTCCAAGTGTACAGAAGTCCTTAGTCATATGTTTAGTATCCATCCACATTCTAGGGTATCCTAATATAAAGACAAAACACTGATTTATTAAAACTCGGAGACAAGTGGATACTGGACATATTGATAGACCAACTACCTAGTATCCATGTAGAATATTTATTATCTAGGTGTACACACTGCCGTAGTCGTGGTGAACCGCATAGACCGGCGGCATAGTATCCACGTGTACACACATGTATACGGGAAGTGTGCCTCATGTGGATACTGAAAGACCAGCTTGATGGACACTTACGCATGCAGACACATATTGTATCCATAAAAGTATCCACGTCTACGTTGAAAGATTGGCCTCATGTGGATACTGAAAGACCAGCTTCATGGTCTCTAAGAATACCACATGTACACGTAGTTGGTCTTACCAATTTGGCTGCGCATGTGGATCACGTAGTTGGTCTTACCAATTACAAACTTAACGTACCAAGTACACACGCCTCGAAACGTTTCATGTAGTAAAGGAGTTAATTGAAGCGTGTACATGATAACATTGTCCATTAAAACGTGTGCAAGCATCGATAATAGACATATAGATACAAACAGGAAGACAAGTGGATAATAGACATATTGATAGGCCAACTACCTAGTATCTATGTAGAATATTTATTATCCACGTGGACACACTGCAGTGGCGTTGGTGAACCGCATATACCGGCGGCCTAGTATCCACGTGTACGCACATGGATACTGGAAGTGTGCCTCATGTGGATACTCTAAGACCAGACTCATATTGTCTCGATAACTCCAGTATCCACGTGGATAGTAGACATATTGATAGACCAAGTACCTAGTATCCATGTATAATATTTATTATCCACGTTTAATGAACAAGTGGATAGTAGACATATTGATAGACCAAGTACCTAGTATCCATGTATAAATATTTATTATCCACGTGTACACACTGCAGTGGCGTTGGTGTACCGCATATACCGGCGGCATAGTATCCACGTGTACGCACATGGATACTGAAAGTGTGCGTCATGGGGATACTCGAAGTCCAGCTTCATGTACACTTACGCATGCAGACACATGTTGTATCCATAACTCCAGTATCCACGTGTACACGTAGTTGCAACCATATGGCGGGTTGACCCAAAAAACTAAACGAAGATGGATAAAGAGGTGTGTACACGTGGATACAGGAGTTATGGATACAATATGTGTCTGCATGCTTAAGTGTACATGAAGATGGTCTTTGAGAATCTACATGAGGCAGACTTCCAGTATCCATGTGAATACCGTGGCATCGTCATGTGGTTTTTTTCTCATTGAAAAATCAACATGTGTTAGTACCTCCAGTATCCATAACTCCAGTATCCACGTGTACACATAGTTGTATCCATATGGCGGGTTGACACAAAAACTTAAACGAAGATGGATAAAGAGTTGTGTACACGTGGATACAGGAGTTAAGTGTACATGAATTCAGTCTTTGAGAATCTACATGAGGCAGACTTCCAGTATCCATGTGAATACCGTGGCATCGTCATGTGGTTTTTTTCTCATTGAAAAAGCAACATGTGTTAGTACCTCCAGTATCCATAACTCCAGTATCCACGTGTACACATAGTTGTATCCATATGGCGGGTTGACACAAAAACTTAAACGAAGATGGATAAAGAGGTGTGTACACGTGGATACAGGAGTTAAGTGTACATGAAGATGGTCTTAGAGAATCTACATGAGGCAGACTTCCAGTATCCATGTGAATACCGTGGCATCGTCTAGTATCCCCGTGTACGCACTTGGAAAGACGTTTAATGAACAATGTTATGTACACGCTTAGATGGACTCCTTTAGTACATCAAAAGTATCGAGGTGGGAACATGGTACTGTACTATAATACACGGAGGTTTTAACACATGTTGATTTTTCAATGAGACATTAACCAGATGACGATGCCACGGTATTCACATGGATACTGAAAGTGTGGCTCATGTGGACACTGAAAGACCATCTGCCTGTACACTTAAGCATGCAGTCACATATTGTAGCAACATCTTCAGTATCCACGTGTACACACCTATTTATCTATCTGTGTAGTATCCATGTGAATACTGGATAAATGTGGGGAAGCTCTTAATTCTTAATAAATCAATGTTATGTGTTTATATGAGGATACCCAATAATGCTCTGTGGATAGTAAACATATGTGTGTAGACGTGGAGACCGATACAAATTTATGAATGAGTTATGTTAAGTGAACTTCGATATCGCAGTATTCACATGGATAGTGGTTATCGCAGTATTCACATGGATACTGGAAGTGAACTTCATGTGGATACTGAAAGAGTATCTACATCAACGAGCAGACGTGTACAGGTGGATGTGGATAAATCCGGTCTGGACATATGTATCCACGTGTACACATATTTGTATCAAGGTGGGTACATGACCTGCCTTGTTGCTGTACACCTGGCCAACACTGTCCTTCTTTTCAACACCTAGATTGATTAGCAAAGCAGGAAGTCTATGAATGTAATGCAGCGTTTGCTTCACAGCCATTACATGTTTAAATATGGGTTTTAACATGATCTTACAACCAAAAAAGATTAACACAAACGGGCTGTTATAAAGGTGAAGGCGCTATCCAAAAGCAGAATCCCGTGGATATAGGATTCACCTAGCAGGTCAGATGGGAACGACACAGTTGGTCCTGTTGTGTCCCGAGACACCACAACGACCACATTTGTTGACTTTTGTCTTCTTAGGTACCTTTAAAAATTAAATAAGCATTAATACATGGAAGTGTATGTTGTTAACTAAAAAAGGTGTACGTGTGTATT